CGACAGCTTGTCAGCACAAGTTAAGGCTCGGAGCTGTCCAATATCAGAATTACTTAGGTCAAGTTAATATTGGTCAAATTATATACAAGCATGTTTTCCCAAACCATTTGATTGTGACATAATGAATACACAATCCTGAATGGTTTGGGATGGATCAATGTGATCCATAATCTTACTACATTGATTGATTCAGAATCTGCGGCTAAGTTCTCTCAAAACAAAACATGATTTATTGGGCACCGTTTTGGAGACACTAATAATCACATGATTGACTGAGTGGCTATGCTGAGAGAACCTGATGACGTCAATGATGCTGTGTAAACAGTAATCATATCCACAGCTTCATACAAATTACAAAGTGAATTGTTTAACCATACAATTTGATGCATTGATCAGTCTTCATGTTATTTTTATCAACTTATTTTTTCCTGTAGCATATGGTGTAGAAAATTAAAGCACCATTGCACAGTGTAACTATAGGATACATCATTGTACAGTGTAACTATAGGACACATCATGGTACTGTACAATGATGTGTCCTATAGTTACACTGTACAATGGTGAGTCCTATAGTTACACTGTACCATGATGTGTTCTATAGTTACACTGTACAATGATGTGTGCTATAGTTGCACTGTACAATGATGTGTCCTATAGTTGCACTGTACCATGATGTGTCCTATAGTTGCACTGTACAATGATGCATCCTATAGTTACACTGTGCAATGGTGCTTTAATTTTCTACACCATATGCTACAGTGTAACTATAGGATACATCATTGTACAGTGCAACTATAGGACACATCATTGTACAGTGTAACTACAGTACACATCATTGTACAGACTGTAACTATAGGACACATCATGGTACAGTGTAACTACAGTACACATCATTGTACAGTGTAACTATAGAACACATCATAGTAAAGTGTAACTATAGAACACATCATGGCACCGTGTAACTATAGGACACATCATGGTACAGTGTAACTATAGGACACATCATTGTACAGTGTAACTATAGGACACATCATGGTACAGTGTAACTATAGGACACATTATGGTACAGTGTATCTATATGACACGTCATGGTACAGTGTAACTATAGGACAAATCATGGTACATTATAACTATAGGACCCATCATGGTACAGTGTAACTATAGGACACATCACTGTACAGTGTAACTGTAGGAAACATCATGGTACAGTGTAACTATAGGACACATTATGGTACAGCGTATCTATATGACACGTCATGGTACAGTGTAACTATAGGACAAATCATGGTACATTATAACTATAGGACACATCATGGTACAGTGTAACTACAGGACACATCATTGTACAGTGTAACTATAGAACACATCATAGTAAAGTGTAACTATAGAACACATCATGGCACCGTGTAACTATAGGACACATCATGGTACAGTGTACAATGGTGTGTCCTATAGTTACACTGTACCATGATGTGTCACATAATTACACTGTACCATGATGTGTCCTATAGTTACACTGTCCAATGGTGTGTCCTATAGTTATACTGTACCATGATGTGTCCTATAGTTATACTGTACAATGATGTGTACTGTAGTTACACTGTACCATGATGTGTCCTATAGTTATACTGTACAATGGTGTGTCCTATAGTTACACTGTACCATGATGTGTCCTATAGTTACACGGTGCCATGATGTGTTCTATAGTTACACTTTACACAGTGTAACTATAGGACACATCATGGTACAGTATATCTATAGGACACACCATTATACAGTGTAACTGTCGGACACATCATGGTACAGTGTAACTATAGGACACATCATGGTACAGTGTAACTATAGGACACATCATTGTACAGTATAACTATAGGACACACCATTGTACAGTATAACTATAGGCCACATCATGGTACAGTGTAACTATGTGACACATCATGGTACAGTATAACTATAGGACACACCATTGTACAGTATAACTAAAGGACACATCATGGTACAGTATATCTATAGGACACACCATTGTACAGTGTAACTATAGGACACATCATTGTACCGTATAACTATAGGACACATCATGGTACAGTATATCTATAGGACACACCATTGTACAGTGTAACTATAGGACACATCATGGTACAGTGTATCTATATGACACATCATGGTACAGTGTAACTATAGGACAAATCATGGTACATTATAACTATAGGACACATCATGGTACAGTGTAACTATATGACAAATCATGGTACATTATAACTATAGGACACATCATGGTACAGTGTAACTATAGGACACACCATTGTACAGTGTAACTATAGGACACATAATTGTACAGTGTAATTAAAGGACACATCATGGTACAGTGTAACTATAGGACACATCATGGTACAGTGTAAATATATGACACATCATTGTACAGTGTAACTACAGGACACATCATTGTACAGTGTAACTATAGGACACATCATGGTACAGTGTAAATATATGACACATCATTGTACAGTGTAACTACAGGACACATCATTGTACAGTGTAACTATAGGACACATCATTGTACATAGGACACATCATGGTGCAGTGTACATATATCACACATCATTGTACAGAGTAACTATAGGACACCTCATGGTACAGTGTATCTATATGACACATCAATGTACAGTGTAACTATAGAACACATCATGGCACCGTGTAACTATAGGACACCTCATGGTACAGTGTATCTTTAGGACACATCATTGTACGGTGTAACTACAGGACACATCATTGTACAGTGTAACTACAGTACACATCATTGTACAGTATAACTATAGGACACATCATTGTACAGTATAACTATAGGACACATCACTGTACAGTGTAACTATAGGACACACCATTGTACAGTGTAACTTAAAACAACACTATAATCAACCAAGGCAGTTACATATTATAATAGAAATATTTGACATATGCTTTAACCTTGTCATACCAGTGTTCATTCGTTGACAGGAATTATTGTTTGTCACATGTGGAGGCCTTCATTACTGCTTGTTAACTGTCCAAAACAAACATTTTTTTACTACTTTTTTTTCATAGCACACAATTTTGTTGCTATGTTAGGACATCTACGCTTGCGCATTGAAATTAACCTGCACCAAGAAAGATATAGCTCCAATTAACTAATTATGTTTATAACAGAAATTGGTAAATATATTCAAGGGGAAATTTTTACTTTTGATGAGGCCAAAAATGACTCTTTTAATTAACGCCCCAATTCCTTTATCACATATATGACGGCATCATTGCAATAACTGTTACCAGTATATTTGCATGTTAACACTAAAACAGTGACAAACAACTGCCTGGTTTGTCGATATCAAGCCAAAACTAGGGATTGCAGAGGTCTATAAAACACAGTATAACAAAGCTGTATCTTTGTCTTGACTAGTATTGACTAAATACATATATATATATGACATCAATATATATTATTACTTCCTGACAGAGGTCAAACCTTTAAATTTCCAGCTGATCAACCAAGCTATTAGAACTGTTACCTTATGATTAAATATAAAATGAAAGTCATGATCACTGCCTGCCTCAGAGCAGGTCAACAAGTTAACACCATGGGGAAGGTGACAATATTTCAGATTGTACGTACAGTATTTCAAAATACCCTGTTTAACGAGTCAATACAAAATAACCTATATGAACTCATGCTGTTGACAATGGACCTGATTAGCAGAGTTTATATGATGTGTGTTGAACCCTTCCCTCATACAATAGTGCTAGGCAAAACATCCTACATCCAAACACCCAGCCTGATGACCTTTAAACAGGCTTGACTGTACGTTCATCCACTTAACCAGCCTATTCAGGACCGTTATCATGTCAGTCATACAGATGATACGCTGTACTTTTATTCTCACAAATCCAAATCCGAAATGAAATTAAAATTCTGGTTACACCCATATTGGGTGATGTTAGCATAAAGAATTATTACATATCTAGCCTTGTGCTAACTGTTTTTATGTCAAACACTAGAATATTACACAATAATAATTACACAAGATCCTGATCAGGTGATTGGTTGCTGAACACCATGTACATATCTCCGAATGCTGTGTTACAGGGGTGATCATAAAACAAACATTGAACATAAAATCAATAAACATTCAATCCATAATATCCCTAATGCATAGAAATTGTGAAATAATATTAATCAGCTGCCTATAGATCTGTTTCATATTTTTCTTTAGATGAGATCAATATTCTTCGGCAATATATATGTGATTAAATTGAATCCTTTATCATCCCAGGATTTGCCCTATATCCTAAATATTGGGTAAAGTCAACCATTATTAATGTCATTGGAACAGATATCACGAACGGAGTCCAATAATAGCACGACAATACATGAAACACTACGTAATGCTGTCACACAAAAGGTAAACCTACCTGTACAAATGAACAGGGCTAGACTTCCCTATCTTGTAGGCTGGCTCCATTTCTGGTCAGTTAGCACAAAAGTCAGGTGTTGTGAAAATTTCTATCAGCAAATTGTCTTTCTAATGAACACAAGCATGGCAAAATCCATTGTAACGTGTTTCAGGAAGTAGAATGTAACAGTGGGTCAGCCATGTTGTAAATTGTGACGCCAAACGGTTGTCAACCTAGTATTCCGTGTATAGACAAGGGAAAATTACCAACTAAATCCTACCGTTACACAATACAAGGGAAGATATGTCCACGTCAGATGACCGTTGTCCTCTGTTACGCATGGTCAGTTCTTCAGACACTAGAGCTGACCATTGTTAAATCTACCAGGTGGAATTTCCTTACACCAAATATATAGCTTTATAGCCAAACATGTATACACACACACACACTCGGCAGGCAGATCAGAGCGTGTGCACTCAAACACATTATACCATGACTGAGGGGGTTTGTCTAAGCGTTAAAAGCAGTAGATCAATACAGGCGGGTCAGCTGATCAACCCAGGTAAAATTTCCAGGTAGATGTTCAGGTGTTGATCACCGGTCCACAGGTATCCTGAGGTGTACCCTGCCGTACTGAGGACACTGGGAGGGTGGTGAACTTAATCAGGTGAGATAAACTGAGTGTTAATCTACTTCTTCACACATGTAATGTTGATAAAATTACTGTCACGCACAGCAGCAGTTACTTCAGCGTCACATTTGTTCAACAATCACCGTAAAATTTCCGTGACTAAAATCATTGACATTTCATTACTAATGTTTATCTTAGGTATAAATTACTATTTTATCGACCATTTTCATCATAATGCATTTCAAATATGTATTATTCATGATCAGTTTATTATTTTCAGGGTACTTCACTGGTAAGTATCAATAAATCCTGTTGATTATGAAGACATATAATGCAAAATACCAGTTGTAGTAAAAACAAGCAAATTCCTTGAAATTATATCCACCCCCCTTGCAAGGACATGTCATGGCAGTTACACCCCCACCCCCTCCCCCTTGCAAGGACATATCATGGCAGTTACACCCCCACCCCCTTGCAAGGACATATCATGGCAGTTACACCCCCACCCCCTTGCAAGGACATATCATGGCAGTTACACCCCCACCCCCTTGCAAGGACATATCATGGCAGTTACACCCCCACCCCCTTGCAAGGACATATCATGGCAGTTACACCCCCACCCCCTTGCAAGGACATATCATGGCAGTTACACCCCCACCCCCTTGCAAGGACATATCATGGCAGTTACACCCCCACCCCCTTGCAAGGACATATCATGGCAGTTACACCCCCACCCCCTTGCAAGGACATATCATGGCAGTTACACCCCCACCCCCTTGCAAGGACATATCATGGCAGTTACACCCCCACCCCCTTGNGTAATACTTCCCCCATCCTATCATTCTGCCTATGACATTTTAATCAGACATCCCATTTGAGGGAAGGGGGGGGGGGGAAGTGTTTCATCCTGGGACTCCAGTAAACATGCATTTCAATTTGCCACCCTCAATCAGTCCGGCCGGCTTAATAATGGGTATGGCGATGCATGTTAGATCTGTTGTTCATTCTCGTGGTGTTGTGTGGTCTACTGTTCAATAAGTTTGGTGTGTTGAGATACCAAATATAATGAATTATATATATACAATTGTCGAGACATGCATGCTCCACCAATTACATCGAACCTTCAGGTTGAAATTTAACCATTTTAGGGAAGTTATTGCATGGAAATACAATTAACCAATCAGAAGTAGGTACCTTCATTAAATTTGCATTAATATGCATGCATCATATTGAACTGAACTTATTAGATAACAATTTCACCACTGTAGACCATAATGGACACATCCATATCAATGCATGGTAGAGTCTACTAAAGTTACATAGGGTTGAAAGGATTAACCTTACATTTGTCAATGTGAATGCACACACCTCTGGTTAAAAATCAAGCCCTTTTTTAAGCGACTTTATTGTATAGATATTAACCAGAAAGGGGAAGCTTCATTATATAAACTATATCAAACTGAACTCAAACTTAGTCTATATAACACTTGCCAATAGGAATGTGCACATCAAATTCAGCTGAATCTAACCATACTTATAGGGGAATTATTGTGTAATATGAGAAACCAAGAGGGAGATGGATGTACCCAAAATTTAACTTTCACTTATCTTCAAAAGTAGCAGATTAAAACAATCCAAGCAATGAAGGCCGGATGACAAATTTCATATAACTGTATACACTGTAGCAACCAATATGACAGCAATAATTGGTGATAATACGGTCATATCATGATGGAGACGTTTATCCAATCAATTGCCATGTGATATTAGTTATTATGTAGCTTGCAGGCTTTAAAGTGACTCATTGGAGGCGCAGTAGTCTAGTGGTAGGACGCTGGGCTGGTGACCGAAGGGTTGCCGGTTTGAGTCCCTGCACTGCAATGTGTTGTATCTTTGAGAAACATACTTTATTCTGCTTGTTCCAATCTAGTCAGCTGTAAATGAGTACCTGGTTGAGCAGTGCTAGAACTGTAGATGCTAGCTGTGAGCGCCGAAATGGCAGTACCAGCTGTTTGCACCCCAGAGAGTTGAGAAAGATATTGGCTGGTCTCAAAGGCCCTATAACCACAGACAATAATTTGTGAACTGCTTTGAGACGACTTACATACTATAGGTTGTGTTAAAGCGGTACAGTACCGTATATAAGAACCAAGAATTATTATTATTATCAATGATTCATTATTAAAGTCGATAAGAATTAAGACCCGGGGGAACGTTAGAGGCAGAGTCGCCTATAGCTTTCACTGACTTCCTTTTATATTTCTATACAATAGAGTGTAATAAATTGTTAGAGCATTCACCGATTATTTGGTTGCCCCACTATAGCTATCTGTAAAGTGTTTTTCAGGGGTCAGCCTGACTAGCTCATTTCTATATATAAAAAAAGATGTCTTAGTTAAATCAAGTCATCATTCAATGAGGCTGCCCCTTTGTCTAGGAAAGTAGGTAACTGCTTACCAACTGTCAGGGTCAGTGACATCATATCTATATATATATGAATTGTATTGCATTGAGAACCCTTTGAGACAAGGTTTTTCCTGACATGTGATCTGAACACACAATGACCGTTTTCAGTGACGTAAACCAATTTGAGAGTCATAAAACATATGTAAACACTTATTTGCAACATCACCAGGAAATTTTAAATTTCAATCATGTCTGCCTTTTCCATTCTGCATTTTAAGATTCCAATTATTTGCAATAGACCTTTGGGTTCAAAGCATTACATGTATGACAACAGCTGATTTTGTAAGAATGATCTAGAAAAAAGCACCAATCATGCTGCAATGTTGAATTTGGCCATTGCCTAAGCCACTCACTCACTACCAACTATATTGATACTGTCTGTTTAAGAGGGTAATCTCATGATCATTCTCGGCCAATGAATGGTTTAATTTTGTTTAACGTCTTATTAACAGCTAAGGTCATTTAAGGATGTGCCTCCATGTGTTTAGTGTATGCATGCTTGTATGTGTTATATATATATGTAGGAGATAGAGTATGCTGTTGTTCAGTTGCCTCCTTGTGATAGCACGGATCTGATGCCAACTTTATAGTTCTACCTCACCGAAGTGCCATGCCAAAGGCACCCAGCACAGCTTTGATTCACCCGGTCACATTATACTGACAACAGGTGAACCAGTTGTTGCCATTCCTCTAAATGCTGAACGTTAAGCAGGGAATAACTCAGAGGACAGGATCCATAATTGGACAGCAATCAACATCTATAATCAGATGTATTATAAATACATAGAAATGGTGCAGGATGAGAGGTGTCTCAATTGAGTCTAATAAATTGAGTGTAATTCATACCTGTCGCACATATATAAAAGATATTGCATGTCAGTTCAATTATTATCCCTACATACCACCTGTATACCTTATTAAGTAAATCACTAAGTAAACTTAATGAAATATGGATTCCTAGTATTTATTAATATATAACACCCTTTTTCTTTTCATTGAAATGGTTAACTTCAAAGTTAAATATTCTCCTTACAGCAACTTTAAACATGTTTCATGTTTTTAAGATGCATTTAAATGATAGATGTTCACAAAAAAACTTTGAAATTATAATACATGTGCGTACATGTGCATATATACTTTGGAGACAGAAGAAGTCTGATGCGAGGACCCCATGGCGAGTTTTATTTGGACCGTTAGCAAGCATTCAGTCAACATTGTGGTTATCTTTCCTTTGGACTCTAGCTAGCATTCAGTCTATATATGGGGTTAACTTTCCTTTGGACCCTAGCTAGCATTCAGTCTATATATTGGGTTACCTTTCCTTTGGACCCTAGCTTGTATTCAATCAACGTTGGGGGTATCTTTCCTTTGGACTCTAGCTAGCATTCAGTCTATATATGGGGTTATCTTTCCTTTGGACTCTAGCTTGTATTCAGTCAACATTGTGGTTATCTTTCCTTTGGACTCTAGCAACTATTCAGTCTATATATGGGGTTAACTTTCCTTTGGACCCTAGCTAGCATTCAGTCTATATATTGGGTCATCTTTCCTTTGTACTCTAGCTAGCATTCAGTCTATATATTGGGTTATCTTTCCTTTGGACCCTATAGCTAGCATTCAGTCTATATATGGGGTTATCTTTCCTTTGGACCCTAGCTAGCATTCAGTCTATATATTGGGTCATCTTTCCTTCGTACTCTAGCTAGCTTTCAGTCTATATATGGGGTTATCTTTCCTTTGGACCCTAGCAAACATTCATTCTATATATTGGGTTATCTTTCCTTTGGACCCTATAGCTAGCATTCAACCTATATATGGGATTATCTTTCCTTTGGGCCCTAGCCAGCATTCAGTCTATATATTGGGTTATCTTTCCTTTGGACCCTATAGCTAGCCTTCAGTCTATATATGGGGTTATCTTTCCTTTGGACCCTAGCTAGCATTCAGTCTATATATTGGGTTATCTTTCCTTTGGACCCTAGTTAGCATTCAGTCTATATATTGGGTTATCTTTCCTTTGGACCCTAAAGCTAGCAATCAGTCAACATAAGGGGCTATCTTTCCTTTGGACCCTAGCAAGCATTCAGTCAACATAGGGGGTTATCTTTCCTTTGGACTCTAGCTAGCATTCAGTCTATATATTGGGTTATCTTTCCTTTGGACCCTGGCTAGCATTCAGTCTATATATGGGGCTAACTTTCCTTTGGACCCTAGCTAGCATTCAGTCTATATATAGGGTTATCTTTCCTTTGGACCCTAGCTAGCATTCAGTCTATACATTGGGTTATCTTTCCTTTGGACCCAGGCTAGCATTCAGTCTATATATGGGGCTAACTTTCCTTTGGACCCTAGCTAGCATTCAGTCTATATATTGGGTTATCTTTCCTTTGGACCCTATAGCTAGCATTCAGTCAACATAAGGGGCTATCTTTCCTTTGGATTCTAGCAAGCATTCAGTCAACATAAGGGGTTATCTTTCCTTTGGACTCGAGCTAGCATTCAGTCAAAATTGAGGTTATCTTTCCTTTACACCCTAAGTCTTGAATTAACATGTATATTAGGCTATCTTTCCTTTTTTTAATTTAATCCCTAGAATTAAGTTGACACATGCATGGGGTTACATTCTTTTTGTCACTGTTTTTGGTTTTTCACATATAAAATAACCAGGGTTGCATTCAAGTTTTGTATAAATAGAGAAGTGATATAGAATCTTGAAATAAAAGGAGTCCACATGTAGAGTACATATTAGTGTGGTAAACATAATTACATGATGACAAGAAATACAATATATTGTACCAAGCTTATGCTTACCATATTATGTTTACC